AGCCCTCCTTGGCTCACAGCCTTCACAAACAGCAGGTCCTCCTTACGCCTCCTCTGAAGGACATCTGGGAAGTAGATCTGTCCAGAGTAAAAGTTGCCAAGTGAAAGCAAACACCCTCTGAACTAAATGTAAAAATGCCTGCCCTGCAAGGACATTTTTTAAAAAAATAAAATAAAATAACCAAAACGATAGCTTAGGGGGCTGGCAAGATGGCTCAGGGGAGTAAAAAAAAGGGCTTTCAGCCAAGCATGATGACCTGAGTTTGATTCCCTGAGCCCACATGGCAGAAGAGAACCGACTCCACAGAGCTGTGCTCTGACCTCCACAAGCATGCTGTACCTAAATAAAGGCAGAAAAATTTGAAGGCTCAGCTCAAGGACCCAAGATGTGTGTGTTACCTTCCCACACATCTGCAGACGCCGTCAGTGTCACCTTTGTGCATGGTCCCTCTCTGGACCACAGCCAGCAGGCAGGCAGGGAAGCATCTGGTATGGAATGCTGCTTCCCAGGATTGTGAGCCAAACCAGGTGTCAAGAAACAGCCCTGCAGCTAGGAGGCGGTCCGTGTCTATCCCAGGCAGCAACCCCAGCCTCAGGTCCTGGGTGCGGATGCGTGCGATAAGGTCTCCCTCCAGCATCCCCACCCTCCTTGGCTCCTGGCTTTCACACACAGCACGTCCTCCTTAGGCCACTTCTGAGGGACAGTTGAGAAGTAGGTCTGCCCAGGTTCAAAATCACCAACAAGAAAGTGGACACCAAAAGAGACAGGCCCTTCTCAGCTCCATGTCCTATTGGTGATAACTGGAGTCTCTCAGGTGAAAGGTTAAAACTGAGGCAGCAAAATGACACTTTCCAGACACTGCATGGGTGAGGAAAAGAGAACCAGGTTCTACTCGCATCCTTCTGGGGACGTCTGACTTGGGAGCTGTCACCAAGACTGGCAATGTTTCCTACGAAACCAGTAAGTCAGACTGACGGATTCCACAGAACTCCTAACTCAGGGCCCACTCAGAAGAGCTCTCTGCCAGTCATGGTAGTGGAGGCCCTGCTCTCCACCTGCCTGGTTCCCCTTCAGATGGAACAGACACCTCACATCCAAAGACCCCACCTACTGGAGTCCAGGTAGCCACCAGCTAGGACTGCTACAAGCACATGGGTAGTGACAGAAAGCTGGGTCATCGAACACATCCCTCCACTGTTGGTCGTTCCACTGGACACTTCCAGGGACCACGAGGAAGCCAGGCCCTAACACAGAATCCTCTGAACTCTGCCCGGCCCAGTGGATGAGGGTCAATCCTCTCTGCCTTCCCAGGCACAGCAAAGCCTCCAGGGTACCTCTACTCCGGGGCAACTGCTCAGGGAAGTGCCCAAAAGCAGACTGTACCCATGACTGTTTCTGTTAGCCTCTCCCCATAAGGACTCATGAGGAAAGCCCTTTAGAGACCCGAGCCAAGACGGAGCTTGTTTGTGGGAGGTGCTAGCATGCTGGCAAAAAAGAACAGACTACGGAGTACCAACGAAGTGAACGAGCATGAGCCGGCATGGGCATCTGCATGGCACACCACTGTCTCTCCAGGCACCGACAGGGCCCACAGGGAACCCACAGACGGGAGCAGCAAGCCCAGCTAGCTGTAGAGCGGGCCAGGTGTCCCTCCATGGGCACAGCTGGAGAGTGGTGACATCGTCCCTTGCTGCATACAGGAGTCAGACCTCTAGGGGGCCTTCCAGAGACACCGAGTTCCGTTGCATCTCCTGCCCTTTCCCTTTATACAGGGGAAATGTGTGTGATGAAGTTGGTGGGCCTCCCGTAAATCCTGAGAGGTTGAGAGGAAGACAGCCAGCGCAGCCCTGGGCAAGTGGGGAGTGAACATTAAACCCTGGCTCCTTTCTCCCCCTTTCAAGTGTAGGATTGGAGATTTAAACACAAGGCCTACGTATACAAGGCAGTGTTCTCCCATGGAGCTACATTCCTCACCCCTTTAATCAATCCCCTTTCAACCCCAGCTCAACTGCTCCACAAAGCAAAGCTATCAGCGGATAGCTTATCATCGTGACCTAGGATCTGCACAAGCAGCCTGCCCCTGGTCAGGGTCCCACAGGGGACATCCCACGAGCTGCCACTCTCATTAAAAGTTTAGCTAAGGAGGGGCCAAAGTGGGCTGGGCCTCTTTAGATTCTGTCAGGAGTCTGATATAGTTGGATAAGCCAAGCTCTCCAGTCAGACACCTGTGATCCTAGCACTCAGGAGACAGAGACAAGAGAACAGCCATGAGTTCAAGATCAGCCTAATCTCTATGCTGAGTTCAGCCAGGGTTACAGAAGACCTAGCTCAAGGTCTCACACACACACACACACACACACACACACACACACACACACATCAGAAACCTGGGACTGGACAGTGGCTCAGCAAGAAGTTCAAAGAATTTACTGCTCTCGCAGAGGATCTAAGTTCATTTCTCAGCACCCACATGGTACGTAGGTTAGTCTCCAGTTCCAGGACATCTGATGCCCCCTTCTGGCCTCCTCAGGCTCCTGCACACATGTACTGCACACAATACATTTTTTTTAAAAAGTCAGAAATTCATGAGGACTGAGAATGGCCCAGGTTAACTGCCTTTCTGCACACTGCTGGGGTAAGCTGCCCTGGCCCAGCCTTCTAGGATGGCCTCCTGCCCTGTGTCACCACCTGCAGGAAATCGGGTCTATGTGCTTCTTCTTCTAAAGGCACCCCGTGCAGGAATGTCACCAGAACCCAACCAGGGAAAGTTTATAGGCAGGCGACACCGACTCCATCAAACACTACAGGTGAAAGTACTCCTTCCCCACTTTACAGATGGAAAGTCAGAGTAGACGTTAACAGACTTGCCCAGGGTCATCTAGACAGAAAGAGGATCAGTCACAAAGCTGTGTGGGCCTTCTGTTCCTACCTAGCATTCCTGCAGTGTTCACCATAATAAAGACATCTCCTACACAATCTGTCCAGTACATCTGGTTTTTGGTGCAGGTCTTAAAACAGGGATATCTACATAGAATAGCATACACAAATGTTTAATTCAGCCCAACAGAGCGTGTGCGTGCATGCATATGCATGAGTGTGCGCGCGCGCATGCAAGCAGATGTGGAAGGTGAGGCCCCAGAGATGAAGTGATTCACCCAAACTAGCTGGTAACAGTCCTGGGGAACCAGCCTCAAGGTCAAAATTCCCATTTGAAATGTCTCGCAGTCCTGTCTTTCCAGGGACCAGAAGGATCCTTTCAAATACACTGTAAAGAACAGGACATACTACATACTACAAATGACCCCTGGGCCTTTGAATGCCACCGGGGATGACCTCACAATGCACCCAGTAGGGAGACAGCTGCCTAACCAGCTCAGAGACCTGAACATCTGGAGACTCTGGAGTATCCTAATGCCACAGCTTCGTCAAACTGTTCAACGTTAGAAGACAAAGAATTTGCAGAGAATAGAGAGTAAGCCATTCGACATACACCCCGGGATCCAGGAGCACCTCAAAGGGACAGGGGGAGGACTAACGGAGGCCAACAAGAGAGCATTCTGTCCGCCCAACAACACAGCAGCTCGAGACACACACTGCTGGACGACAACCCCGGAACTAAGACACACAGGCCTCCTATTGTATCAGCTTAAAACCGAACTTTGCAAGGCACACACTCAGCTGTGTTCAAGAAATCCACATGCTGAAAAGCTGGGTGTAGAGCTTTGTTGGTTGCTTTTTAAGCAAAGCCCTGTTCGGTTCTGCTATAGCAACTATAACAATAATAATAATAACAGTAATAATAATAGCCAGCACGTCTTGGAGTCTCCCAATGTCCCTGGCTTTGTGGCTTTTCTGAAAATACAGCTAAGGAAGAGTCACCCTGGCATTTTGTATCAAACAAGGATTCAGGCTCGTGGTGTGAGAGGAGGGAGTACTGGTCTTATAATAAGTACAGCAATGACCGGCTGGCTCTATGACAGCTGGCAGATGCAATTAGTAATAGTGTGTGTGTGTGTGTGTGTGTGTGTGTGTGTGTGTAAAATCACATATCTAATAAAACAGACATCCTTGCCAGGTGAGGAAAAGCCTGTCTTTAGGACAGAGCTATTAACTGACCCTCTGTACTTTCAAAGGTCTTCCAGTCCTTGGAAGCAAGTTAGGAAGGCACTAGTTTTATCTTCAATGTTTAAGGGATGGGGGAGCTCCCCCTTCTGAAATCCCAACCATCTTGCCGGCTGGTTCTTCCAAATCCTTTTAATGCTGCACTTCCCAGCTATAATTTGAGAGAAGACAGCTCACACATCTTATTTTTCATTGCACTCCAGGTCATCTCTGTCAGCAACCCCCCTTAAGTACTGTGTTCTTACCAAAGGTTCCCTTCCTTGGTATAATCCTTCCTAGGCAAAAGCCCAATAATTGGGGATGGAGTGGGAAAATCAATGGCTAATTTAATTTTAAACAGTTAAGCGGTGTGACAGCGTGAAAGAAAAGCATCCCAACGCCTGAACTGCAAAAATGCTGCTTCAGCAAACACTTTTTGAAAAGCGGCAGACAAGTCCTGGTGGAAAGGGAAGGAAAGGGCAACAGGATAAGGAAAGTCAGCGCCACCGGCCGACGCTCACACTTCAGGGGACGTCCCCTCATCACCCCAGCCCACGCTACCGGGCTTAAGCACTCCGAGAAAAGTCCAGCGCGTGATTCAGTGGGACAATGATTACTATGGGCACTGGAAATATGGGGTGAGGACGCCCGCGAGCATCCTACCCGACACGCTGGTCCTCCAGCCCCTCAATCCAACCCCCCACTCACGCCTCCTCCCCCAAATCCTTCCAAGGTGAGCGCTGGTCGTAGGTCCTCACGCCACCGCATCAACGAGCCCCGGAAAGGGAGGAAGACTCTAGCCAGCAGACCCAGCTGCAGGATGCAACTCGGGAAGGAAAGCAGCGGGGCGGCTCCCGGGCCATAGCCGGGTCGGGACTACGGGCGCTTCGACCCCTTACCTCCAGGGTCCGGATCTCCTGCTGCGTGAGGTCGTTGGACACGGAACACTTGGTGCGCAGCCCGCGCAGACTGCCGATGGAGATATCGATGAGCTTCTGCAGCTGGCCGCACTGCTGCAGCGCCCGGCTGGCCGCGGCCCCTGCACCCCCGTCTGCGGCCGCCGCGGCGCCCCCGCCGCCGCCCTCCTTCTTCTCACCCATCGCCGCCGCGCGCAAAGCCGCTCTATCCATACCTCGGCATCGGGGCCGCCGGGGGCCGAGGCAAGGAGCCCGGGGGGCACGGGCGCCTCGGCGGAGAAGCCTCAAGCCGGGAAGGCTGCACTAGGAGCGCCCCTCGGCGCGGCCAGAGCCTGAAGTCCCGAGTGCCAGCCGCCCAGCCAGCTCCTCCCGCCTCCCAGACGCGGCGGCAAAGCGAAAGCCTTCGCGACCCGACGGCTGCGGCTGCTGGAGCCTTTAAGCGGCCGCGGGGGCCGGATCGTAGCCGCGGGGCACGCTGGGACTTGTAGTCCACACCGCGCCATCTGTCTCTTGGCCCGTGCCCTCGGGGCCCCGCCCGCACTCTGGCCCCGCCTGACGCCTAGGAGGGGCTGTTCTGCGCCTGCTCCAATTCGTGTGCCTCGTGGTCTTGGAAGCCTGGTTCCCCATCTTTTCAGTTCCTTCACCCACATCTCCCACTACTACCCTGTTCTCACACACGCAAACGCACACACATTAGTAGCCTCCCACGACCCACGAATGGGGTGGGGCAGGAGCTTACCTAGATGAGTCCTGTAATTTGGGATATTGAGGGTCCTGAATTTTTGCATGAGCTTAGAGGCCTCCACGTATGGGAATGTGCCGAGGATGTAGCTCAGTGGCAGAACATTTGCCTGGCAAACATAAGACGTTAGGTTTGATTCCCCAGCACTATCGAAGGAAAAGAAAAAGACCCCCTTCACTCTCATCTAGTTCTCACAACACTTGACCCCAAGTTGGCTTGGTGTTCGCTTAGACCTTGACCCTGAAGATCTGTACCAAAGTTAATGGACAGGCAAAGAGAAAGGACTTTCTTCTGTGTTCTATTGACTCAACAAAATAAGTTTAGCGTGCCATACCCTGCAGATGACATATGGGCGGCGGTAGTTTGGAGCAGAGAGAACTTGAGTTCAAATTTGAGTCCCACCACTCCACTGCCTGTTAGGTGAACCTGAACAAATGGCCTTCCTCCGGGTTTCCCCTTCACATCAGATCAGGTCATGGCCACCTAAGCTTCCAAAAGAGGAGGTGTTCGCACAGCACCCAGATTAATTACTTGCACGTATGGTCATGTATAAATGTTAGCTCCATTCTAAACTCAGACGTCCTGAATGAGACCCAAGCAGTCAGTGGCCACAGCAGCAGAATTTCCCAGCACTTCCTAGCCCAGCATTTAAGCCTCACCACACCTATTCACTCTCCTATCAATCTGTCTCATCTATCAATTAAAAAAAGGGGGGGGGAGGAATGAAGCCAAGTGTGGTGACACACATGTTTAATCCCAGCGTTCCAGAGGCAGAGGCAGGAGAATCTCTGTGAGTTCAAGACCAGCTTGGGTTACTTATCTAGTCAGGTCTTGCTCCCAAGCGGCAGTGGGGTGGAGAAATGGCTCACCATGTAAGAGCACTTGCTCCTGCAGAGGACCCAGAGTTCTGTTCCCAGAACCCACACGATGGCTCACAACCATCTGTTACTCCAGTTCTAGGGGTTCTGAAGCCTTTTAACCTTTGTAGGCACCAAGTTAGTCACATGATGCACATACATGCATGTGGGCAAAACACTCATACACATAAAATAAAATTAGCCTAACAGACCAAAACGAAAGGAATCACTTATACAGGTCGGTATGGTAGCTCATACTTATAACCCCAGCACTCTAGGGGCTGAGGCAGGAGGATTCCTCACTTGAGACCAGCCTAAGCTATATGGTGAGACCCTCTATCAAAGGATGACGGTGACATAGCAATCCTCGCGGGGCATGCACAAGATCCCTGTGCTGCACTTACAGATCCCCCCAGCCCTGACCATTACCTGAACCCCACTCCAGATCCTGCCTTAGAGAAATGACTACCCTGAAAGAAAACCGCAGTGATGGTTTTTCAAGCTTGTACAAGCATCACAATCAACTGGAGGACTTGTTCATCCTCGAATGCTAGCCCCAGAGCCTGTAGCTTCCTGATCCATAGATCCAAGCCTGGGCCTTGAGAATTTGTGTTTCTGGGAAGTTCCTGGGCGGTTTGACGCTGCTAGTGTGGCCACCGTGCCTTGAGAAGCCACAGTGCAGGTGGATGATAGACTTCTCAATCACTCTCCACCTTATTGTTTCGAGGCAAAGTCTCTCACTGAACCTGGGGATAGCCAGTCTGCTAGACTAGCTTCCTAACAAGCCTCGGGTTACAGGCATGCACTGCTTTCCCATCTTCTTTATGGGTGTTAGGTCATCAAACGTGGGTCCTTAGGCTTGCATGGCAAGCACTTTTACCAACTGAGACATTTCCCAGCTCTCAGAACCACTTTTGTCCCCACACCCTGGCAAAGACCCCTGCTGTCCTATGACCTATGGCATTCATGCCTACCTCATGTGGGAGTGATTTCTTTCTAATCTGTTGCTTTCATTGGTTAATTAATAAAGAAACTGCCTAGGCCCATTTGATAGGCCAACCCTTAGGTGGGTGGAGTAAACAGAACAGAATGCTGGGAGAAAGAAGCTGAGTCGAGGAGTCGCCATGATCCCGACACAGCCGCAGGTTAAGATCTTCCCCAGTAAGCCACCTCGTGGGCTACACAGATTATTAGAAAAGGGGTTAGGTCAATATGTAAGAGCTAACCAATAAGAGGCTGGAACTAATGAGCCAGGCAATGTTTAAAAGAATACAGTTTCCGTGTAATTATTTCGGGGCATAAAGCTAGCCATGTGGGCAGCCGGGTGCCGGGGACGCAGCCCCGCCGCTCCTATTACAACACCTACCCATTCTACCATGGTGGCAGCAACAGGGTTGGAGACTAGACAAATGTCAGCCTATTGGATGCTATTCTTGGGCACCTGACCACATAGGGCATATGTGTACATTCACACACACACACACACACACACACACACACACACACACACAGGTCAACAATACATTACCCAAATAAATTCAGTGATTGTTGGGTGCTATAAAGGAAGAAAAAGTGTGGTCAAGAAAGTACTCTCTGATTACAGAGCTGAGATTTGTCAGTTATTTTTTAACTATCCTTTTTTAAAAAATAATTCATTCTTATTTTATGTGCATTGGTGTTTTGCCCTGGGTGTCAGGTTTCCCGGAACTGGAGTTACAAACTGTTGTGATCTGCCATATGGGTGCTGGGAATTCAACCCAGGTCCTCTGGAAGAGCAGTCAGTGCTCTTAACCACTGAGCCAACTCTCCAGCCCCTGTTAGTTATTTTTATTTTGCTTTTGAGGCAGGGTGTCACATATCCAAGACTCAAACTCACTATGTAGCTTAGGATATGACTTTTTTTCTCCTGATCCTCCAACCTCTGCCTCCCGAGTAATAGGACTACGGGTGTGTGCCACCACACACAGCCGAACAAAATCCTGCATAAGGAAATGAAGCTGTGTACATGGTTCTCCAGGAAAGGGTCCACGGGCAGGAACTTGAGAGAGAAGGAGGGCCCGAGTCACCACAGCATGATGAAAAAGAGCAGGTGGAGATGGCATGGGAAAAATGGGCGGGGCTAGTTTAGCAGGGTATAGGAAGGAAGCTGAGGTTTGCTCCTAGGTCTTTATTACTCAATATGGTGCAAGAGCAATGGCACCTATATCATCTGGGAGCTTAGAAACGCCACCAGGGGCTGGCAAGATGGCTCAGCAGGTGAGCAGCAGAGACTCACATGGTGAAAGGAGAGAACATACTCCCAAAAGTTGTCCTCTGAGCTCAAGACACACTTGCACACTCATGAATACACATAAATAACATACATGCACACACCCCACATACAGGCACACAAATAAAGAAATAAACTATAATTTTAAAGCAGGGTGAGGGAGACACCAGGAGCTCAGTTAAAAGGCTTTGCTGCCAAGCATGATGATCTGAGTTCAATCCCCCAAAACTTACACGGTAGAAGGAGAGAAGTGACTCTTCCCCAAAACTGTCCTCTGACCTCCACTTGTGCTCCATGACACACGTGCACACACACAGTGTAAAAATATGGGAGAGAAAGTAGGATGCCACTGAAAAGCAAGGTATAGCAGCCCAGGCTTGTCAGCCCAGCTCTAGAGAGAAAAGAGAATCTGTCTGTTCAAGGTCAGCTTCAGAGTTCTGTGCCCAGTCTGAACCACATGAGACCCTGCCCCAGACAAACAAGCACAGCTCTCTAAACACACCAAGTGAGAGCTATATATATATTTACATAATGTATATTTACATAGAAATAATTTATTTAATACAAGTATGTATTACAATATATCTAAACTGTTTCTGTGATATATTTTTTATTATTTTATTTTGCAGAAAAGGCTTAAAAAAATAAAATAATCCCTCCGACTGCAGCCTGAAGAGCAAGCAGCAAGGGACTAGGGCAGAAGCAGCAGCTCACTATTTAGAGACTCCTGCAATGGAGACAGACTCAATAGGATAAGCCTGCGGGTGAAAGGGGAGAGGAGGGTAGGAGGTACGGCTCATCCTGGCAGTGGCACTGTTGTTCCTCAGGACTGGGCTAGGTTCCCCGGGTTCACATCTGCTTTCCTGGCAGTCACCTATGTCAGCAGTACAGCAGGAGCAAGCAGGTTTCTGCTGACGTCTAGGGTAACCCGCCCAGAGCTGGGTTTCCTGGATGCCATCTTCAATCTAAGAAAAGGGTGTGTCACCATGGAGAGATGCTCTTTCTTGGGGTTTGTTCGTTGAGACAGCACTAGATCTCCCTATGTAACATAGGCTGACTTTGAACTCACTGTGTACTTTCTAGGTTGGCCTCAAATTTATAGTGATCCTTTTATCTCAGATTCCTGGTATTGGTATGAAATCCCCTCCTTCCTCCCTTCCTTCCTTCTTCACCCTTTACTTCTCTCCTTTCTTTTTCCCTCCCTTTCTTTCTTCCTTAAACGTGCTAAGCAAACACTCTTACCTCAGCGCTCCATACCTAGCCCCTCAGATGTTTGTATATGTACATGAGTGTGGCGCGTATGTGATGGATGCCCAGTTGTGTATGTGAGTTCCTGGCTGGGCCTGTGTGCATGCTATAGGGGTCAGAGGAGAATGGCAGGCGTCATGGTCTGCCACTTTCTGCCTTACTCCTTTGGGATAGTCTCTCCTTTAAAAAGAATTCTTACAAGCCGGGCGGTGGTGGCGCACGCCTTTAATCCCAGCACTCGGGAGGCAGAGGCAGGCGGATCTCTGTGAGTTCGAGGCCAGCCTGG